GGTTTTGAAACCAGAGCTGTGCATACAACGGAAGCTAGTGCAAATCTTGGTTCTACCTTGGTCATGAACGCCCCGCGGCAAGAATTCCGTAACATGACAGCCGACCAGCATTTGTCACCGCTGATCTGTCTGCCTTCTCCAACCGTGTTTGTTTGATCCGAGTAGCGTACTTCGACTGACTAAGACAATGATCGATGGCCAGCCATGAAAAATAATAGATCTGGTGAATTTCATGGTTCTTTCTAACAGAGAACTAGATTTTATTAGCCAATCAGTTCTCTAATTTTGCTCTATAATTGTAAATGTCTAATGAGATTTACCGAAAAGTAGGTTCTTTGCTCCTGCTCGCTTTGCTCTGATCATTGCTACCAGGCTCGAATACACCGTGTACAAGGATGGTCCTGTCTACGGATTCCTTCCGATTTTTGTTTGATTAGTGCTTCGCCTGTCCGCGCTCGCTCCACGGGATTTTCGGGAACAGGAAGATGTAGAATGACTTGTTCCGAAAGCGAGCTCTGGATAACAGCACAGGTTCTGTTTCCTTGACAGAGATCAGCACAACTCGGTGAAGTGTTGGTTAACCGTAGTGCTGTGAGTTTGGGTGACTGGTAACGCGTGTCAAATTTACGAGCTTAGTTACATTACCTATAGTGTCACATATTAATTTCCCCTGGTTTACGTCATCGAGGTGTTACTCATTTAATGAATTTGACGTCGATTCTGGAATGTTGGTGCAGATTAGCGTTGGTATAGTACGTACAATTATACTTGAAGTCAAACCACCAGCTGGTCTGTATACTGTCCATGGAGGCTGTTTGGTTAGAGCTTCGTCTTCTTCTCTTACTATGGGTTCAGTGGGAGTGGAAGAAGACCAAGGTTTTACATCACCTTCGGCAGCAATCAAGTTCCAACCACTACTGGTGTCGAGGCACTTCTGAATTTTCGGAACAGTTTGGAGGGTGCACGAGGCTATGGTCTTGCTCATTTCAATCGGACTGGCGGTGGTTATTTCAGGCGTATTTGAGAAACTGGTGGCGTTGGAGTATAATGCCACAAATAATGTATTTTTAGCGCACTGCTTAGCCTTCTTCCTCAGGTTTAATTCGGTTCTGGACGGGAATGACTGGGATTCATTCTCTGCCACGCTTTCTACAAATGAATCACTTTTGGTGCTGCTCCTTCGTTTAAAGATTGCCAGCAGCCTTTCGGAATGCAACGATAGTTCTTTTGCAACCTTTACCAGTGGAATGACTATACCTACTGAACAGCACCACAATGAATCTGGTTTCCTATTATGTGGCTTCAACTGTATCACTATGAGCTTGGAACTCTGGCGATGGAACTTGCCTGGGCAACTGCTACACTGGATTCCAATCCGTAGATAGTTATAGCATGTAGGAAGACCACAACCTACTGTCGATCTAGATGCGGTAACCTGGGCTTTTGATTGGTCGTCACAACCCAATGCGTCGATTGATAATATTCCCATAGAGGCCCGAACACAAGGTTTCCTGCCGGCCCCGTGTGCGCTGAATTGTCTGCATGTTCAAGGTCGTCACCTTCTGTGCTTCTGGCCCAGGCGGGGAAGGTTTAAGCGGTTAGATCGTTCACGCGGCAAGCGTAGCGACTGATCGATACGGACACAACGTGTACGATAGCTACTTTGATGAACGATCCACAGCTGTAGCCGCTGGCTCGTCAGAGGAAAGGTGCAGTTGGCTTTCGGTTAAGACCACAAATATTGCTGTGTGGTTCGTGATTCGGAACATTCCTTGATTGCCATTTGTCGGGAATGGCGCAAAAGCCTCAATGTGGAGACAAAGGGTGCTGCACACAAGCTAGATCCGAAAGATAGAGTGCACTAGCTAGCGCAGTTGAATCAGGGTCGAATGAGTGTGAACACACGTTTGTGTGACACAATGCAACTGAGAACGGCGGCAAAGCTACATGTTCACAGATGAGCAATTGGAACGCCGGTTTGTTCAATGTCGTTCAAGGGTAGCCTGTGTTGCTACCAAAAAGCAAAATAGGTCAACGTAATTAAGGAAACTATATTTCTACTGATTCTGTTGCTGTGTAGTAGTATAAGAACTTTAAAAGGTAGGAGTGCTGTACTCGAATTTGCCATGAGTTATAGGAAAAAGGTCCACTGCCCAAATGTCACACCTAACAGCATGCAAAACAACGGTATGGTAGTAAGCAAACTTTAGTAGCAAGCACATAAAAGCTGGTTGCAAGTCACACGAACGCGCGAACTCGTATCAAGACAATAGAGGTCACTGCTTAGTTGACACACAAACACGCACGCATACAAGTACAAGCGTTGCTACACAACAGCCTTTCCGGTCGAATGGCTGTGGATGGAGTTGGCATGACCAGCTAAAAGCCGTCTTTTACCGAGTCATTACTACAATTTGTGGGGGCCTAAGCACCGATGAAAAACAAACCCCTATCAACCCCGCGCGACTTCGAAGCTTTGAACGAGCCAGCCAATCGGATTGTACGCAACCGCATACTGCTTGGAATCCACGCAACCGGTGAAGCGTCAGCCCGCGAGCAATACTAACGCCGGCTTGGCTGACACGAAACTGCATCATCTCAGTAGACGCGCAATGAGTAAGCACAGATAGCGTCACCTGCATGGGATCACAAAGCGAGCAGTGAGCTCGAGTCTTGTAGGGTGGGTTACCGATAAGCAGAAGTGGTCATTCGAGAGAGTGTCTAATGCACGGGCAAGTGCTGCATGTTGTCCGATCGGTAATAAATTGGGTACCTTGAGGTAAGGCAAACTGTGAGCGGATGAAGAGCTCCAAATATAGGCGGACGAACTGACCTTGTCCGCTTGCTTGGACATGAGCTTGTCGACAAAACAAGTATGACACTCCGCGCTTGCATGTGACCTTAAACTGGAAGATAATCGCCCATTAATGCATGGTGGGGCTGGGGCACGAATTGGGGTGCTGAAAATATGGGGGATAAAAGTAAATTTGGGAAGGGACGACAGTGGTGAAAAGCGTAAGAGCGGTTTGAGAGATAGCATTCAAACCTGTATTCACCCAGATCGATGCAGTAGATAGGGCGCCGGTAATTATCCTCTGCGACAGCCAGAGGAATGTTTTGAAGGTACCGTCATTGGATTGTGGGGGCAGGATACTGTCATATTGCCCAAGCCAAGATAGGGAAACAATTAGGGTACTCAAACAATGCCTTCGTTTCAAAGACCTGACAGCAAGGCTGCTAGTTTGGCAGTGGACCAGAAGATGTCCGTTTTACTGAGCAGGTAGCCACCCTCATCCCAACCTCTAACCTGAAGCACCGGGAGACTGAGTTCATCCGGCCACTAAGCATTGACCCAGCTGGTATGAGTGACACTGAAGACGCGAAAAGCATCACATGGCATAACTCAGGAGATAGCTGAAGCGAGCAAAATGTATCTATACAATAAGGTCGAGCCTCACTGCGATATGATCAAGTATCGACGGCTTGTCAGTAGTATGCAAGCTGGTGGAAAAAGTGACATGGTCGTACAGATGGTACCTGGAAATTAGCTCTTGGAAACAGGCTTTAAACTGCTTGTTACCGGTTGCCGCTATTTTCAGGTCGTACACCTTAAAGTCATCTGCGATGAGAATGAGTCTGTATGACTTGTTCAATGTGAAAGAAGAACGTGGTTCAGACTGGAGTCTACTCGAAACGTAGAGTTCGGCGGACAAAAAATTACGACTACATGCCACTGGTGTTCGTTCCGCAACCATAGCCGTCAGCAAAGGAAAGCAATGGTGTAGATTGCTGGGTGCACAGTAATTTCAGATTGCAGCTTAGCCTTGTAATACAGAACAACACCCCATCTCTTGCAGTTCTATCCTTCAGAAACAATGGCGAACTTAATCAATTGACCTCAGCATCAGCAATCTCAAAGCTTTCCAATGCTTCCGAATCATGATGAAACCTAGGGGTTGTGAGGCCTGCGACCAACTCACCAAGAAGGCCTTGAACGTTAGAATATAAACAGAATGGTGTTTCATATTTTCGGAGTGAGTGGAAGTGAAATTCGTGCTTACTTTTAAGCCAACCTTGTGGCGGTCGGCCGTTGGTGCTTTTGCGTAGGTCGTAGGCTATTAAATTTTTGTAGATGGCGAAGTGAGCGCTTGTGCTGGATACCCACGCTGCGGATTCGTCGACAACACACTCAGTCAACCAGACAGTCACTGCGCATCCGAATAAGTACCAAACGGTCGTTTCGTTCTTTTGAGGATTGCTAAATTTGCACATGATGTCTGTCCGCTGTGGGGCAATAACCGGTATCCCTACGTATACGCATCCATTGCCAGGTGGTGTTGGATGCCGATAGGTCTTCAGGCAACTGGTGTGTCCACGTCAACTGTAACGAGCACAATATTCATACTGATGAGGATTGGCCGCCGGTATAAGTTTTAGATAATTATCTTCAGAGTTCGCCGGTCGCATATAATGACATACTAAGAAATAACGCCTCTTTTACTGAACCTAATAATCGAACTACGCACATGAAAGCATTCACTGGGATCCAGTTGGGCATAATGTTTTCAGTGTATAGGTTGTATGAAATACCACTACCATAAATACCCGGGCTTTGGCTTGTTGTCACTAGAGGCACGAAGTACCCGGTTAACGCCACTAGCATTTGAGCTAAGTTTGATGCCGGCGCCACATTTTCGTGCGCCTGATTAGAAGACGTAGCACACATTTACTAGAGAATAGTGCAACGCCCGTACTGGTGACGATGGTGACCGACCTGGTATAATGTGTAGTAGTTTGACACACCAGTTCACTCACTCATAAGTGGCGCAGTAGTGCTGCTTTGTGATTTATTATAGGGGAACCACAAGTATAATTTGGCTAAATCACCTTCTTGAGCGGAGTTGACAAATGCTACTGGGCAAGCTTTTCTCGGTTTCGCTCCTATCCGACCGTACTAAGTAGTTTAACTTATGAGTACCCATTGCCCCATCATTTTTTAGCAATCATTGGCGCTGGCATGGGCGGTGCAACAGCTGCGTACTACCTGCGTCAGCTATTTGGCTCGGAAGTGGTCATCACCATGTTTGAACAATCTGGACGCATCGGGGGTCGGATAAAATCTGCCAGTTTCGCTGGTCAGCTAATCGAGACGGGAGGCAGTATTTATCACATCAGCAACCATTATATGGCAAGCTTTGCGAAGAAGTTTAGTAAGTTGTGGCAGCCATTCTTCTATATTTTGACCTATACTTGATTTGCTAGCTACTAAAGCATGTTATTTTTCTTTCTCAAATTTGATAATTACAAGTGTCACTTTTAGCTCTATCCTTGCTCCTGTACAAAATAAGTGTTTGCTGACTCGTAGCAAAAAAAGCACTTTTTGGTCTGGTCCATCATCCACACAGGTAGCGGTCAATAGGATTAATTTCACCGATCTCGTCGTAAAACACGCAGCTTCAGTGCATGGGACAAAGTAAGTCCGGTTAAAGTTGCGTCCTTCTCGCCTACAATAGTCGGTTTGCTTCTTTTCATAGATCAGTCTGCTCCCTTAAATAATCTAACTTAACAGATCAAGCGTGCTAACCACAATGACAGTAATAAGGTCCGTTTTCGTATGCAGTTTTCCTTACAAGCGCATGCTGTGCTGTGTGGTAGATCAAACCATGATTTTGGCTCGCCGACTAACTAATCTTGTGGACGTACTACAAAATGACTGGATTTCAGAAAGTTAGGAAATCCGGGAAATATTTGAAGCCATGGAGATCTGAAGGAGGTAATGCACTAACTCAGGTACTGGTACCACCCTGATGGAGTTACTCACTGAAGACGGTATATTTGGAGCAAAAACAAACAAGATATGTACAATGCCGTCAGGACTTTGTCGAGAAGATTGAACACGTCTAGTTGTCGATCGGTCCACTGTATTTCAAATCTTTATTGAGAATATGGTAATAAATGACTTACATAAGTAAAGCAGTCACAAATCTATGACATTTTTGAATCGAATATTGGCATAATATGCAAGCCGAAACTCCTCAAACTAGGATACTGATTATACCTTCTCTAAGTAGTCTAGAAGACCGATGAAAAACATTCAACACTCGCAGCTTGAGGGCAACACCAAGAGCGATGTTCTTCAGAGCTGGTACTATAACCTTTTACGTATTTAAGCATGTGTTGCACGGTACTCACAAAAAGAACAATGACTTCAGTATGGAACGCGATCGAGATGCGAGATAACGCTGTAGTATGAACTTGAATTCCACCTGATGTTGCGCCTCAAAAACAGGAAATACGTCTGGCGGAAACCTGTTTGACCCTTTCGATCATTTGCGTTGTATCCCCGTTGTTTGGATAGTAAGCGGATGACCAGTAGCTTAGCACTGAGGCTATGGTGGAAGCGATAGATCTAGGGGCGACCCCTTTAGATTGGCTGTAGGAACTAGGTTCGGAGTCCTAAAACACACGGCATAGCCCGTTCGAGTTATCCAAGCAGTTCAAATTGCAATGCAAGGGTGCACTTAAGTCCTTCGTCAAAGGCATGTGCCAGAACGGTTGCCAATCAAGATAGTTATTTGGAATGTCACCGCACTTTCAATGCACATGAATAACAACTTACCTGGCTAAGTGGAACAGAGTGTGAAGCGCACACAGGGGAGTGATCGGAGTCTTGTTGAAGTAATCTTTAGACACATGCAGTATCAATCACTTTCTACCTCTTTATATAACCACTAAACAAGCTACATGGCGAACGGAGAAATTCAGGCCGATCGTCAATGTACACCAAGAACAAAGTGAGCCTCAACACTGTGTCCCGGGATGCACCACTGGTACAGGGCTGCCAGTCGGTCAGATAACAACCGATTTGTATGCGTTAAGTTCAATGGACAATGAACAATGATTTTTCACGGGTAAAAAAGCATGTGCCTGACAAGTCGAGTAGGACCGTTGGAGTGAAAATTATGATTGTATGGATCAACCAATAAGTAATAAATTTTAGACGTCTACCAATTTAAATGCACTACGGTATAAGAATATTTTGAAGTGGAAATGGGATCTGCACACACAAGTAACCTAGAGAGCTGCCATAGTTCAGTAAATGTGTGAAAAAGAAGAAAAAAGAAACGACAACGTTTACTTGTGTGTCGCTTCATGTGACAAATGTGGCATTTTAATCCGGTTTGAATACACCCATGCTACTCATATGGACACTTCTGTATGTATGCTCACCGCCACGTTGCGAAGAGGGCCGTCAAACACATGGTTTGGTGTGGGTTAGTTCGTCCTCCGAGTGAAACAAACTACCTCAAATAATGCAAGTTGGAAAGCGCATCATCAAACGTTGTTTGAAAAGCGTTAATGTAAGGGTAAGGATGAGGTGGGTCGGAAGGGCATTCCAGGCACGGGACACACGGAGGGAGAAAACGTTGCGTCGACAACCAAGTCGACTGTTGTACGTAACCAGTTTGCGCTGATGGTCTCTCAGTTTGGTATTTTAGCTCAGCTGCAACAGACTGCGACATGGGTAAGTTGGCTTCGTCAGTATCAAGTAAACAATCATGTGGTCTCCTCGCTGACGTCGATGTTCGCGACTGTACAATCCCAGGTACTGCAGTCTGCCTTGATAGGGTAGGTGAAACAATCCTCGTACAAGTTTGGTTGCGCTTCGTTGTGGAACTTCAAATGCATTGATGTCGAGCTTGCACCAGGGACGCTAGGCCTGGATCGCATATTCGACAAGGGGGCGTCACGTAGGCGTTCAGCATTTGCGGAAAGACAGATGGGTGGAAATTGTCGAAAGCGCACCGTAAGAGTCGTAGATGTTGAATGGCTCATTTTGGTACCTCTTCAGTTTGTTTTGAGCAGCCCAGGCCACACGCACGATCACCCCGAGGTCGCTTTCTTTAGAAGCACGTTGCAACTGCTGGTCCCAAGTTGATGTTCATGGGTAAGTTGATGGAGCAAGCTCAAGACTTTGCATCTGACCACGTTGATCTGGAGTAGGTTTTCGGATGACCAAGTATAAGCTCTGTTGAGATCGCACTGTACTGCAACATGATCTTCCGCTGTCTTGCCGTTATTCCAAATTTTGACATCATATGTAAATAATACGAAATTCGAATAAACTACACTGGCAAGATCGTTAATGAATGTCAGGAATAAACGTGGCCCCATTACCGATCCTTGGTGCACGCTACGCTGTACGTCAATTTGGTCGGAAATAGAGCTGCGGACTCTCATATTCAGCTAACCTTGAGCTAGGAAGTTGCCGATCCAACCGAGCATAGGGGCGTGGATTTCATAGCTTCGAAGCGTGTGAAGGAGAATGCGGTGGTCCAAACGATCGAACGCTTTCGAGGAGTTTATGTAAACAACGTTGACTCCCAACCTGGCATCAGCTGGGCTGACTCTGTCCAGCTTGCTCGGGCTAGAAGCAAGTTTATAGTGCAGGATCGCTTTTGGCGGAATTCGTGTTGCGGTGGCAGTAGGATATTGTTACTCTCAAGATATCCCATGAGCGCCTGTGCACTTGTACCTTCCATTATTCGGATAAAACTAGGATCAAAGTGATTGGACGGTATTTCGAAGGTTCCGCACGAGTTTCGCTTTTGTAAATAGGAGTTTGTAGCCCATGTTTCCACATTGTGGGAACCAACACTTCGTCAAGATAACGTTGAAATAAGCGAGCCAATGGTTCGGCATTGTTTATGGCTGCTGTCTTCAATGCCTTTGGTTTGATGTCAGCCACGTCAGGTGAGCTGTGCAGGCACAGTGACATTAGCGATTTCATCAAAATGACTGCGGTGAACGATACGTGGTTTAACCCTGGTGGGGTTAGAAGCTGTGTCAAAAGCGAATGGAATGATGATTCCCTCCCAAAAGCATGGATGAAGTGTTGGCGAAGCACGTTGGCCTCATCTTGTGCGGTTTGCGTAAGACCATTTGTTGCAGGTAAAACCGGGATACCGCACTGCACTGCGGAGCTTGTGAACCTGTCTATACAGCAACTTGGGATTTGTACTGAATTTCGCAGCTAAGTTCCGTTGATGCTGAAGTTTGTTTTGCAGATCATCTTGACGCCGTAGTTTCGTTGAGTTGTGTAAACACCCAAGGTCAGGTTATTTGCACAGACTTTGTAAGCGCTCCAGGCTGAATCGTCCAATGACAGAATTGGGGATCTGTTTGTGCATTGAATCGCCGACACCACACACAGTTAGCCCATGGAGGAGCACTTTACAACTTGCTTCACCCAACAAGTTAACAAAATCGGTCTAGATAGCATCGATAGGCTACCGATAAATCGTTTTCTGCAATCATTTCCGCGTGGTGAAGAGCAAGTTCTTTTTCCATGAGCGGTCTCCCACGAAACTACGGTGTGAGACGTCATGACTGGGACGTCACGACTGACACAAATTCGGAGTCTTTTTATTCTAATCTTTCCGGCTGTGGAAGGTTTCCGTGTTGTACGCTCTCATCCCTACACTCCTCGATGCGTTTCTTCCTTGTTTTAATTCATCAGTTTGATAGATGATAAGCTGGGAGTAAAGCTCATCTCATAGTGTTTGTTGGCTACCGACATCATTGCTAGACCGTTAAGCTCTGGGAGCACTGCTTGACACAGCGGTTAGAAATTGCTTATCGGGTTTCGAAGCACCTGTCGCGTAGCTTAGATTGTGACACGCAACCGAGGATACATAGCGGGTGCTTTAAACTCCGATAACCTTTTCGGCTGTCTGAGCCAAAATTTGTGTCAGGCAAATCGGTATACAGTTTCCCGAACTGCTACGTTTACCGCTCTTTGAAATAGGTAAACAAATAGTATATTCCTCGGTGATTCGAGATGCAGTCCAACTAGGTGGTCTGATCAATGTGTACAACAGGATAGCAAAAAATAACCAATTTGTTCACCCTTTTTACAAAGGGCCCAAAACAGGTACTAAACTAATTGGCAGGATTAAAGTATTAAAGAAATTAAAAAACCAGGAACAATAACACTTGCAGATTTAAACAGATGTCCAGTTAAAGTAATACGGCCACTCGTGGAACCATCCCATCGCTTTTACAATCATGAACCCTTAGTCGCTTAATAAATGCACCTTCGAACTGCTGCTTGTTGAAAGTGCCAATTTCTGAAGGTGTGCTACCGACTCATAACTTCTTATAAATTATAAATTATAAGTTATAAATTGTTGATCAGCTGCCGCAAATC